AGACGACGACCATTCGTGCCATGAACTTTGGTACGGCTGAGTCAAGGATGGAGAGCTGGCCTCTATGGAGCTGTCTCAGATACTGGCTTTTGTTAAAGCCTTGAGACTGTATGATGAGTTATAACTCGTTATAGCTCAAGAAAGGGGAACACACAATAGATCTTTAAGGTCGCGGTGACTAACTCCCCTCCTAAACATTCTACATTCTCTATTAAAGAGCTTGTAAAAACTGAGGAGGGTCCCGCCTGGGACCCACTCTTAGTCAATAAAATACTAATACAATACAATGTGTACTACCAGTCATAGCCTATGCATGCGAAACCTGGACACTTAAAACAGACATTATAAGGAAACTGCAGGTCGCACAACGCTCAATGGAACGAAATATGTTGGAAATAACCAAAAAAGCCCGTAAAAGAATAGAGTGGATACGACAAAAGAACTCAGGTAATAGATGTCATCCACAGAATCAAATCCCTCAGGTGGCAATAGGCACGACATCTGGCAATAAGGACGGACAACAGGCAGACCACAAAAATTAAAACATGGTACCCACGAGGAATTAAGAGACCTAGAAGACCTACAGCATGGATAACTTGGGCCTACATAGCCAACAATAGACAACAATAGGCCCAATTACAAAAAGAGTATCCAAATGTTTGAGGGAGGCTACACTTTTTATTCTTAATCTAAGGGCTACACCATAATTGGAAATGGTTGAATAAGCTGAAAACTTTGAGCTGAAAATGATGATGATGTCATGATGAATTATACGTCATTCAATTATTTATTGGTATTGTTAGTTATTTGTTCAGGGAATATTATGAAATAAAACACCTTAAATTCAAAATTACCAATCTATTTCAGAATTTAAAAATATGTATTTTAATAACTATAACTAATAAATTTGCACTAGAGCGAAATACAAAAAATGTCACTATAAAATCTATTAGGATCCGTGTTCAGAAATTAGTGTCGTCAGGCAAAGATGTGTCTATATAACAAAAATATATTTTTTTAATACAATAAATGTACTAGGAGAAATTTGTTGAAAATGGAACCCTGTTACATCCTTATAAATTCGGACTGGGCGGTAGGTTTCCTATTTTTAAAGGAAACTCACGACCTAGTCCATGGAACTTGGTTTTATCCGATGCTTACACAGAAATATTAAAGTATGAGATTCTCAAGACTCAAGTTTCATTATATAGTTACATTTTCTCCTGTGGATTTTTTGAGTTATAATTATTATTCTAGTATAAAATTAAAATTATTAAAAAAATGTTATGCTTCGTCATTATCCTTTCAAGAGCATTTATTGTCAATAATTTCTAAAAACTAATTTAGATAAATAAATATATCAGATATTTTTATCCAGTTGTTAAGACTCAAACCAGTTATACAATATCTCTGAAACTAATAGTCTTTATATGACTCTGATTTAATGAGAAAAAAACAGCTGATATACTACTGAAAATTCTGTGTTCAGGTATACATTTTTTAAAGGAACATATCCAAAGTTTTCCATTGTCACATCAATCAAGGCCCTGCAAATAAGGCACCGTTTCATACATATAGTTCCTTTGGAACCAAATTCGTTTCAACTGTCGCGTCTCAAAAATTAGCTTTCGTCAGCAATAATACTGCTACTATTTATTGTATCTCAGGTTTTAGCGTAATGCGTTTAACAAACGAGACTAATAATAAATTAATGTTAATTTAAGCCACTTTGGAGCGATCAACCGTTGGTTATGGTTGACAGATAAGCAATGCTTTAAACGTCAGTTGTCTACCGATTGTTTGACAACTGACGTTTAAAGCATTGATTAACTGTCAACCGTAACCAACGGTTGTTTGCTGGAAATTGGCTTTAAAAATGAAACGGTTACGAAAGATATTAATAGAGACGCTACGATTTGAGCTTATTGTAGAAAAAATCCTAAACCTATAATCACAATCACATTAAAAAAAACTAAAATTATAATAATTATTATAGTAGGTAGTTTTTTTATGGCCAATGATATTCTCTCACTATCGAATATGATTCAGATGGAGTGTATAGGTAACATCGCCATTACTAAAATCTAAATTTACGGTACTAAAAATTTTTTAATATGGTCTAAAAACTTCCCCAAACGATTTTTGAACAAATACAATAACTTTTGAGATACCTACATAATGAGTTTTAGTAAAGATAGAGCTCATAAGTATCTTAATCTTTAAGTAAGATACAAAGATAGATTAAAATATTATGACTCTTTGTAACTCTTTAATTTTGTATAAAAACCAACTGTAGTGCTTAGAATAAAGAAACACAACGTGGAAAATCTGTAACTTTTTCTCTGAAAAATATAGTAAAATTGGCTATGTTTAAAAAAAAATAAATAGAAAAACACCAATAGTTTTGACCTATCATTTTAATAAAACTCACTATTAGTAGTCAGCAAAAGAAATTATTTGGAGAAGACTTTATATCTAGAATGTTTAACCATCGTTCAACGTTACGTCATATATTTTGTCGAACTCTCTCAATCACTTGCCAACCAGATGAAAGAGATTGGTGACGTCATTAAGGCATTTTGAAAATTACTGCATATTATTTTTAGTAATTATCATTGTCATTTGATTTAGGTTTATAATTTTATTGACGGACATCAATCAATGTCAAAATTAAAATTTGATTGTTGCTGTAAAACAAAATTCTATTTTTTTTATTGCAAAACGCCTCAAAGATTTAACCAAAATGAACGAGAGTTCATTGCTAAGCTTATAAATTATTTTTCTGGAGAAAGAGACGTTGATAGAACACTCTTGGCCCGTGGACACAAAAAAAGGTGTAATATTCCTATGTAAATTACAAATTGATAGCGTTTCTAAATAACACAGCGAGTTACTGATGCTTTAGAAATAGGAATTTCAACAGTCCAAAGGATTGGAATTAAAAAGATCCGAACTGATCGAGAGTTCAAGAAAACATGAATAAATACCGAAAAAAACGGAACTCGCTCAATCAATAATATAGGAACGTACTTAAAAATTTGAAACAATATGAACTGATCTCAGACACACGCTAAAACTCATATTTGACAAATAATGATGACGTAATGGTGAACGATGGCTGAACAGTCTTTACCTTTATTGGCTAAATATTGTTGTTTGTAAGTGCCTTTATTTAAACTGTTATACATTATTTATAACATTGCTATATGTGCGCTGTCATATTTTTAAAATTTTAATCAAAATATTCTTTTGAAAGATTGCTACATGAAAAAAGAATTCTGAATTAAATGTTTCTTTTTTCAAAGAAAATAAAAATATAATATACAAATTAAAAGTTATTATTTCTAATACTGTATGTACTATAGCAAAAAAAAAGCACTCAATATGAAAAACAAAACCGTTTGAATTAAGAAGTAATATTAAAAATTATTCTTAAATAAGTTAAAATAAATAAATAAAATGAGTTTGGAAATATATGGCGATGCTTCCTTACTAATAATAAATGAATTTTAATATACGTACTACGCAACGATCACTTGAGTGAAACAATAATAAAATTAAATCGAGCTGAATACCTATGTTGTTCTCTATCTCTACCGGTTTAAAAAAAGAGTCATCACAGATCAAACTACTGTTAGGGTAGTCCAAAACTGTCCTTAATTTTCTAAACGCATAGCCTATATTTATGTTTTGGTAAATTTTTGGCTTTAAAAACGTGTATTCGCTATGCTGCGTCCTTGTTTTTTTTTCGGAATATACAGGGAGACCCAACTCTTCTGAAACATCACAATATCAGGTTTTCTATTTCGGATTATTGCTTGGGTAAATATTAAAAATTTACATGCTGCTTGTTAAAAAAAGTTGTTATTTATTTATAATGTTAAACTTATTTTGCCCGCCCAGTAGTCTTGTCATAAAATTCCGATTCTAAGAGTGGGTTAATGTCATTTATTTTTTAAACTATATTTGTAATATAACCAATTCAGTGTGTAATATGATCAATTCAAATTTTGTGTGCTGTTTAAATATATTTTTCCTTCAAAAATTGTAAAGTTAACTACAGGGTGTACAGCGTCTACAGGGAATTGCACCCTTTTCAGTATTTAACTTTAGAATTGCTGAAATCAGGGCTACTTTCGTTTAGCTGAAATCAGTTATGTAAGAAATATTTGCTTATTTAGTATTTGGAAGCCTTTCAAAATAAAATGTCACGAAAATTTTGTTTGGATGAGGATTTGAAATGTAACATTGTAATACGGCAACACTGTAGTGTTGCCGCTTCATACTAAAAGTGGTAGCATCTTTGTTATTAAACGAAACACCCGGTATATTTTTATATTTTTCGAAACTACTTCCATATCTCAAAATTTTTCTGTTATACTGACCTATACCAATTTTTAATAGTTTTCGAGATAAAAAATAAAAGATGTATAAAATTGACAAATAGAAATAAATAATATTTTTACTCTCCCTGTGTAATATCCAATTGGCTTATTTAGACAGATCGAATACATCGACTTTCGTTAATTTATAACTAACTAAATTTCAGCTTTAAAATTCATGATTTTACCAATGCTTATTCACGACAATGTTTTTGTCAATTTTACACATGTATTATCTCAAAAACTGTTAGAGATAGCATAATAGAAAAATTATGAGATATGAAAATAGTTTTAAAAAGTGTAATAATATACTGGGTGTTCTATTTAAAATAAGAAAAACACTTTTCGAATGATGCGGCAACACTGTAATGCTGAAAATAATTTAGAAAGACGGAGCAGGTGTCTTTATGTAAAAATCTAAATTTTCAAAAAAATCTATATCTAAATCATCGCCGTAAATCACCCTATATGTTTTGATACTGTTTTATATAAGTGATTTCAGTTAAAAAAAGCTCACCCCACGTCTTAATTAACTACTTTCGAGCCTTCATTGATAAATACTATTTTTAATTTTATACATTAAAATTAATAATAATAATAATAATAGCTCCCGTATATAGAGTTTAACGCCTTGGGAGTAGCAAGGTACAGCTTGCCATGCTAGAGCCGTTCGGTATACAAGGAAGGTAATGTGGCTAATACTACGCTTCAACCGTCTATTATTACTATAGTTATATCTATATTACTATAGTTAATCCCAAGTACTCATTTAAGGCTTACTTAAGGAGTTGATCTAGGTACCCAAACTGTTTTTATTTTATTAAAAATAGTCGGCTGATTAAATGCCGCCTGTAGGATTCAAACTCACAACCTTTAGATTGGTAGACGAGAGTACTGTACTTCTACGGCACCGGACACCCTTAAATTAAAATTAATTTTATAAAAAATCTTGATTTTTCAAACAGAAATCTTGATATTGACTATTCGACGACCATAATTGGGCCACCCTGTACACCGGTACTTTTTGCTTTAATATCAAATCCGTCCGATCTCTCCTAAACGTGCGAGGAGTCGTCAAATCGTCACTTCCTAACGATTTGGATGGAAAAAGAACTTATCCAACGAAAACCCCGAAGCTGCCCCGCTTCTACCGAATCTCCACGACTCCCCGCGATTTCAACCCCGAATAGCGCTCCTATACAGGGTCCTCCCTCAGTACGAATCGATGATCTCGATGATGCTGACGTAGGTGCCGGTCACGAACCCTACCAAGCCGAACAGGATGAGGAACAGGTTCTTGTACAGCCTCCAGTTAAACCTGCCTAGGCCCGGGTTCTCGTAGAACGTGATCAGATCAATGGCTGCTGGGAAGATGAGTCCCAGCATCGATAAGCACACGGCACCGACCAGGGAGATGAAGGCGCCCAGGTTGGGGATGAGGATGGCCAGGATGACGGTGAGGATGACGAGGCAGATCCGGATGGTGTTGTTGGCCAGGGTCTGTTTGTTGGCGCTGAAGTTGTTCTTGACCGCTTTCCAGATGATCTCCATGGGTACGTAGAACTGGAGGGCGTAGGTGAAGAAGATGGCGACGGCGATCATGATTTTTACGGATTGGGCCAGGCTGCAATATTAAAGGAAGACAGTTAATATCTAGGAAGTTTTCAACAAAAGGTAAAAGGTAAGATTTAATGTCTCTTTTTGGATAAAAACAGAGGTTTATCTCGCTTATTTCTAAAGATATAACTATACAGGGCGGTGACAATTTTGATGCTCAACATTGGCATCTCAGAAACTCTCAGCAACGAGAGATAGGAATACGGTTAAATGTTGAACATTTGATTTTACATCTTGATTAGTTTCGGATTTATATAAAAAAAATTAAAATAATACGTTTATTTTAAATGATAATATCATCAGAACTATTGTATCTATTGCAACGTAAGTTGGTAGTTTTATATTTTTGACCTCGGTATGCCATTCGAGATTTCGCACAACAACAGTCAAGTTAAGGTTTTCTTACGGCTGCCATTTTGAAAATTTTTACTATTAGACAGAGCGAAAAAAGTCTATACGGTGGTATCTCATTTTTATTCATTATTATGTAAATTCACTAAAAAAAATGTCAAATATAAATGTCAAATCTGTACGCACAAAAATTGTATAGTAGAGTTCAATACAGGTCAATACAGAACCTCAAATTTTATTGTCAAGAATGCCAGCCCATACGTTCAAAGAATATATTATTTGTGGTCTGATTTCTCTTATTAAATGAGGATTTTTTTTGCATAATAATGTGAATTTTTTCTGTTAAATGTACCAGAATTTGTAAATAAAGATTCATCTTCTTCTTCTTTCAGTGCCTATCCTCAATGGATGTTGGTAATCATGTTGTCCATATAATCCTATTAACATCCGCCCTGAATAAATGTACGGTCGTCATTCCCGTCCTCTTTTATATTTTTCAGCCATGATGTTCGTCGGCGTCCCTGACCTCTTCTACTATCTATTTGGCCCTGCAGTATTAGTTGGATAAGTTGGTATTTATCATTACGCATCACATGCCCATGGTATGCCATTTTTCTCACTTTCACATTATGTATAATTTCTAGTTTCTTTTGCATTCTTTGGATCCAGGTGTTGCTTGTGACATGGTAAGTGTATGAAATCCTGAGCATGCGGCGATAGCACCACATTTCAAAGGCTTTCAAGCGTTTAGATGTAGCATCTGTCAAGGTCCAAGCTTTCACTCCATATGGAAGCGTGGAGAATACGTAGCACCTTAGAACCTGTGTTCTTATGGCAATATTCAGGTGCGTATTGCATAGGATCTTTCCAAGACGCAGTTAAAAACGGTTCTGGCTTTTTTTATGCGGCATCTGATCTCTCGTGAGTGATCCTATTCCTTGTTGAGGCTGCAGCCCAAATACTTGTTACTACATAAAGATTCATCCGTCTATAATATTTTTTTTAGAAAATAGGGGGCTTTTTGAACACTTTCCCGAAACCAATTGCAAAATTCTAATCTTCTCTTGTGATCACCAGTATGCAAAAAAATGTAACTTTGGTACACAATTAAAATTAAAGTTGTGATATTTATGTTTTTTGATAATTTTCCCCACAGAATCACTACTTATACAACACTCGCGACTTATTTTACGACTAGAAGTTTCCAGATTTATTTCAATCTGAGCTGGCACATTAATATCATTAAGCCTTTTAAAATATTGCCCTCTTGTTTTTTAAAGCTAACATCAACTGCTAAATTCCATGAAATCCTTGCGAAAATAGTACGATTAAGCTGTGTCTTAGATTTGTGTCAGGATACAATGTTCTATAACTTGCGCACGCCATATCGCAATTTCTATTATTTTTTAAGTAAACTTCATACATATCTCGTGTTTCCTCACTTGTGAACATATTGTTGACTGTTAATACACTTTACACTATCTACTGTACATTGTTGTATCGAGATTTGACACTTATAGGGCAAACAAAAATTAACTTGCTGTCATATGAAGTGTCAATTGGATTTCCAAGGCAGAGAATTTTTAAAAAATCTAAATTTTTTAGTGAATTTTCATAATAACGAATAAAAATTAAATACCACCGTATAGACTTTTTTTCGTTCTATCTAATAATATAAAAATTCAAAATGGCAGCCATAAGGAAACAAAAATTTGACTGTTGTGCGAAATTTCAAAGGCTTAGAATATTTCTGAAAACGGCATTTAATTTGCCGAGGTGAAAAATATAAACTGTCAACTTAGTTGCAATAGATACAATACTTCTGAAAATATTGTCATTATTTATAAAACCTTCAACTTTTAATAACACAAACACTTACACTTCATCTTGAGGTAAATTCAACGTAACACTGCCTTCAGTTTCATCTCCGTATTTCAAGAAACCGAAGAAACCTGTCGAGGCGTAAAGGACAACGACAAAGAACATTCCGGTGTTAAGAACTCCAGGGCAGCCGATGAAATGATGAGGGTTCTTCATGTTGTTTTCCAACGGCATCACTACACCGATACCTTCCAACGCGAAGATAGCCATTCCGAAGAAAGTAGGCAGCTTGGTCACACTTTCATAAGCCGGCTGCGAGTCAAGGCTTGGCAGATCAGAGAAGATGTAGTAGAAAGTGATTCCCATTCCTGTCGCGACTAGAACGTTAGCCATCATGGACAGAGGCGAAAGATATTTCAGGTTCTTGATGAGGTTAGTGAGAATGAGGAGTGGTAGTAAAGCAGCCATGTATATCCTCAAATCGTAATGCTGTTCTACAATAGTATAGTAGTCGACGACTTGCTTCAAGTTCTTGGCCACGAACATGACGTAGACGCAGCAACAACCGAGCAGGTCGATGACGAGGAACATGTTGATGCTGGCCTTGGCGAACTTGGCCCACGGCTTGAAGGCGGCCGGGCCTTCCGAGAAGGCGACTTCGGCCACTTCGGCGAACCCCAGGCTGGGGACGCGCGTTCTTCGGCTCAGTTCGTGCGCGCTTCTAACTAAGATGTGGACGCAGTAGGTGCAGATGGCGCCGATGGCGAAGGTGCAGATGAGACCGAGGAAGAGGCCGGCGTTGGCGAAGGCGAGCGGCATGGCGAGGATGCCGCTGCCCAGGCTGCCTTTGAGCAGGTGGATTAAGGTATCCCAGTCTCTGAAAATTAAGAAGAAAAAAAAATTAGATGAAGTGAAGATAAGCCCTACAATAGGATTGCCAACCGTCCTCTATTCCAGAGGACAGTCCTCTTTTCTCTCAAGTATTGAAAAAGTCCTCTCTCACCAAATTCACAATATAAAAAATTTCGTCTATCGCCAAAATGCTTAATAAAATTGTTAATTTGGTATAACAATATGTCTCGCTAGTCCCACTCCGTTCGTACGTAAAAGAAATATTTATGTACCTACAAGAAATATTTGTGGAAGCGACGCATTTTTAGCTTTTTTATGTTTACTTATTGTTAGCTTATATTTTGAAATATTTTTTTTAGAAAATTGATTTATTTTTACTTTATTTTACAATTAATTAAGTTTTGAGTGTAAATATTTTTGGGAAAGTAAGAAAGACCATCATAATATTATGGTATAATGTTTACATGACTTTTTCTTGATAACTTCAAAAATTGTTTGGCCTGTGGCACTTTTTTACCCTCTATTTTTTATTTTGAAAGTTGGCAACTCTACCCTACAATGAAGCACATTTTCTTAATTAATCTACAGGGTGGTCCGAACTGTATTCCGGAAACTTCGGTAACATATTTTGCAGATAAAAAGAAGTAAAAAAGTTCGTATAAATGTATGTCCTAAAGTGCTTCGTTTCAATGATACAGGATGTTGAAGTTTCATTTTTCTTTCGATTTTTTTTCAAATAATTTCTGAACTAACGTCAATATTTGGATAAAAAATGGTGTTTGGGTGTTTATTTACATGAAAAATTTGATTTCGGTGTCAATATGTCTCCTACTTGTAGGGGGCGCCACCTAAATGTGTTTTAACTGTTTTAAAGAGTAATAAGTTTTCATCCGTACCTGTATAAAACTACCAAATAAAAATATACATTTCCGCGACTTTTTACGTAAAAAAATGTCTCAATAAAACAGTTTCTGTTGAACTTTTGGCACAAAAAAATTTAAAATTTATGATTTCAGTTTAATAACTATTTAGTCAACATGTTTAATTTATGTCAGTGATGATAGGTATTGATCATTTCGATTCTAAATATCTCGAGAACCATTAGCGATTTACCAAGAGACATTTTTTAAGTAAAAAACGTCGTAAATGTATATTTTTCTACTAAATAGTTTTATACAGGTACGGACGAAAAGTTATTACTCTTCAAACCAGTTAAAAAAGGTGTAGGTGGCGCCCTCTACAAGTAAGAATCATATTGACATCAAAACCAAATTTTTCATGTCAAAAAACTCCCAGACACCAACTTTTATCCAAATATTGACGTTACTTCATAAATTATTTGGAAAAAATCGAAATAAAAAAGAAACTTCTATACACTTTGTATCTCAGAAACTAGGCATTTTAGTACATACATTTATACGAACTTTTTTACTCATTTTTATCTGCAGAATGGGCTGCCGATGTTTCCGGAATACAGTTCGGACCACCCTGTATATTAATATTAACTTAAGCTTTCCATAGATTGTTGATAAAACATAATAGGCTCGGAGTTAGCCTACATATGAATGGAATTATTGCAATACTTTTTGAACTTCGTTTGTTGTTTAATTATCACGAACTTATAAATTTTTTGTTATGCAAAAATTTTTGCATAAAAAAAAATATTTTTTTTTATTTGAACTCATCGACTCAGAAATTGGGAAATTTATTATTATTGTTTCCAATTTTCGGGAGCAGGATCCCGTTTATAGTAATCCCGGGATAAGAACCTATAATCCCGGGATCCTGGGATTGACTCTCAGAATGAGAAATTTAATCTAAGGAAATATTTAATAAAAATGCAGCTACATATAAAAAAAATAAAAAAGAGAAAAGGGCTTTATTAAAATAGAAAAAACAAAGTAACATTCAAGTTCAGTAATTAAAAAATACAATTCTTGTTGCAAAAAAATAAAACAAACACGGAAATATAACTTTTAGATATTGACGTTCTGCTTAATATGAATAAAACATGATCTTGGAAAGACTAAAGTCGAATTATTTGGTATTTAAATTTTTCGAGATTTTCGGGATCCCTGGATTTATTATTGGGATTTCGGGGATAAATATACACCGGGATTTTAAAAGTTACTACGGGTTTTTGCACTAAGTTACCAATGTCAACAAGGACGGACAACAAATCTTAAGATGTTACCATATCGACATGTTTGTAGCATGTTAGTCGACATGTCAATTGGGGAATTTTTATTGTGAACATTTATTGACATTGGGCTAATTTTTTTCAGGATTTGTTGAAGGAACTATTTGAAAAACCATAGTAACTTCGCCGGACAAAATAAACTTTCCAATTGCCCTGTCGGACGAATCAGAATCGTAGATTTCGTGACGAAAACTGTTTTCGAAAAATTTCGCAGAGGAAAAAAGTAGCAGATTCGTCATAATTAAGCAACACAGAAAGTTAAAAATGTATTTCAATAATTCTACTCATATATCATGTGAGATAGCCCTCAAATTATATTTTTAAAGCAACATAAAAAAACGTATGGTAGACTAAAATATGCTTTTTGAAACCCACCTTCTAATGTGTCTTATAAGAAAAGTTTTCAACCAACTGTTTTGCTTTTTGTCCTTTTTCTTGGTAACCATAGAATAATATAATCATAGGTAACATTATTGTTATGCTGTGATAATAATAATATGACAGTGGTAGTCCCTTCCCTATCAGTAGACAGGTTTTACTTATAAAAACAACGAACAGTAGATTAAGTGCATGAAATAAGATGATACCTAACTATTATATATTATGTTATAATTAATTCAATAAACATTATTGACAAGTAGGACTTCTTTCTTTGTTACGTGATTTCTTTATTAGTTAACTATTCTTTTTGTTTCAAAAGTATTAGAGGTGTTTATAAAATGGCAGAAAATTACATGCTATTCAACCTTACTGTCGCTAAAACTGTACAGATATATATTTTTAGGAAACTGTAGTATAGATATAATACGTATATTTTTAGGAAACTGTACGTCGCACAACGGCTCAATGAAACGAAATATGCTGGGAATAACCAAGGGAGTCCGTAAAAGAATAGAGTGGATACGATCAAATACACAGATAATATAGGTCATACACAGAGTCAAATCTCTCAAGTGCAAATGGGCAGGACACCTGGCAAGAAGAACGGACAACAGATGAACCACAAAAATTACAGCATGGTATCCACGAGGAATTAAAAAAGCTAGAAGAAGACCAAACCTGAGATGGGACCATGTAACTTGAGTTAAATAAATATGAGATAATCATAGGGTATGTGTCCTCGAGTCTAAAATTTGGTAATCTAATCAGAAGATATACTTGTAAGCCATTTAACGTACTTTATAGATACGAGCAAACACCATTTAGATGCAATTAACGTTACATAATTGTTGTAGTGATGACGTTTAAGCTCTTGATAATTTCTGTTCAAATAATTATATTGTTTTTTTTTAATATTTAAAAATTGTACTAGATACACTAAACAGTTAGTTTAACATCATAGTATTTTACTTATTGGATAATACATTTTTGCAAAAAAAGTTTTTTTGCATAGATGTCTAATTATGTTATTTGTTATTTAAACTAATTTTTTCTATAGACGTAAGAAGCAAAGGACTAATATAACCTTATAAAACGGGGTGAAAAAAAATGATTTTTTTTTATTTTAATCAGATTTTTTTTATTTTAATCAATTTTCTATTTAAATAAGTCCTAGCCTAAATGGCTAAATCTTTGTAACTCTACCCGATATTGACAATATTAACATTTCTACGGCGCGTGTCGTTTTTCCACATGGGTCACCGATATATTTTATTCTCTAAACTTTGCCGATGCCCCTATTTCCGCAAAAAAATCGGCCGCTTAGATCAAAGGGATTTTTTTGGAAATAGTCATGAGTGATGTCTTAAGTCGGAGAATAAAATTAGTACCATCTAATGTTCAAAGTGCAAAGTACTTATTGCAGAACAAATTGTCGGTAGAAATTTGGAATGAACTAGAAGATAAATTAGAGTAGGCGGAACTTAGCTTGATCAACATTCAGCTGTTTCAAAAAAGGTATAAAACAGCCTTGACTCCAGCTTATCTTTTGACATTCATTAGTCCTCGGGAATAAAAATACTAGCGTGTACCAGCGACTTCGTTCGCGTCGAATTAATCATTTGTAATGGTGATGATAAAGCAAAGCAAGAATTGCCATTACCATACAAACTGGATAAAATTTTCTCACATTTATGTCAGCATGAGAAAAAACAATATGGCGATATTATTATATAACTTGGTAATATTTGAGGGGTAGTTTCATCTCGTTGGAATTTGACTTTAGAAAAATCCGTTTGCCAAAAATAAGCTTTTTACGTCAAGCAGTTTAAGCAGAATCGTGGTTAAGAAATTACCCAACTTTTTGGAACACCCTGTATAATTTTTTAAAAAATTTCAAAATATGTAAAAAAAACAAATAAATTATGCTTGTCCAAGCGTTTTCCCGAAAGACTAACCGTTTTTTAAATAACAAATATTGTAATATTTGAGGGGCGTTTTCACCCTCTTGGAATTTGAGATTCGAGAAACCCCTCCTTATCGAACCCCTACACCCCACAGTCAAACCGTTTGCCAAAAATTAGCTTTAAACGTCAAGCAGTTTAAGCAGAATCGTGATTACTCAATGGTCATATTTTATGAAACGCCCTGTATAAATTTATAAAAAATTTTAAAATATGTAAAACAACAAAATAAAATATACGTGTTTAGGCGTTTTTTCGGAAACTTGACCGTTTTTTAAATAAAAAATATTGTAATATTTGAGGGGTGGTTTCACCCTCTTGGAACTGGAATTTCAAAAAATCCCTTCTTATCGAACCTCTACACCCTAGAATGAACCTGTACACCAAAATTGAGCTTCTTACGTTGAGTGGTTTGAGCAGGATCGTGATTAATCAGTATGTCAGTCACTTAAGGATTTTATATATTAGTATAGATCACCTGACATTAGCAAAAAACCTATAGAAGATATCGCAAATCACTAGAGTTTGCGAATGAAATGTATTCCAATACAGGATTTCTGGCATTTCACAATTTCAAAATAAATCTCTGCCATTTAGAATTATAATGGATTAACACAAAATAACTTTAAAAATCGGTCCAATATATTAATAGATGAGTAGATATTAGGGATATGTGTTGGTTGTAGTTGTAATTGTAAAAGATATTACATATATCAGTTCTAATTATTTTTCGATCTATTAAAGTATTTAAACATTACAACAGCAAGTGTAACTTTGTACTTATTTGATGAACAGATATAGGGTATATTTGACATAGGAATTCTTTTTTATAGCTTTATTAGGAAAAGTTTTTATAATTTTTACAGTTATCTTTCGATTTATCATAAGTTTTTAAAAGTCGATTTTTTTAATTTAAATTCATGATTAAAATAAAAAGAAACCGTTGATTTAAATCATTGCTCCCTGCTATGAACATAGACATAGACATAAATGTACAAAAAAATATGAATGTTTCACAGGATCTTTAATAAGCGATTATTAAAAATATAATAATTTTCACTAATTCCACAAAATAATATAATTTTACGAAAGCGTTTAGAGATATTTAATGATTTTATTACCAGTTTACAAATGAAATTAACCGTAAATACAATTTTGTAGTAAAATTCCATGATTTTTTCTTTCCAACTGCGCTAAATATAATGCTAAAATTGATAAAACCGCATGGAAATGCTCCTGAGTATACCTATACGCAAGTTTTTAATTTGTCTTATCTGACAAGAGTGACAGATGACAGGTAAAGATGCAAGACTAATCTTTCGATTTAACTGACATGTAAAGTGTAAGGTAAAACGTTATGTGTAGATGGGCCTTAATACTCTCTGTATAAACACAGTTTATATCAGGATGTATCTAATGTTTGATTAATATTTTCTCGGTACAAGATAAGGAAACTTAGATATGCGTCATTAGAAGTGTGTTAGCTATACGGCATATGGTAGAAATAGAATAAATAAATAGTCTAACGTGGTACTACTTCGCCGCTTTTTAAATTTATTCCACTACATTGAACTAAAGTTACAGACTACTGAACAAACATAGTGGCTACAAAATCGTTATTGAATGGGGTGTGTCGAAGGTTTGTTCATATACACCTAGAAAATATTAATAATCTATACTGAAATTAATTAAAAATCTAGGAGTTTATATTACAAAAAAAATGTATCTTATTGTACTTAAATTATTTTGTTTTAATAATTTATAGTTGTTATAATTTGAGTTATATTTAACTTTTTTTAAGAATTTCATGCATAACTGATATCTGAAATAATAGATTTGCTTTTGAATGGGCTGTGTTACTTAATGATATATAACATGACATCTTTATATTTTTATACTTATCGATTATCGATATGTGTTCTTTTCCTTCATAGGTTAAAATAATATGTTATAATAAGAAATTATTTATATGTAAGATGGTAGGCTCTATCGTATTTAAAATTTTGTTGTCGAACTTTTATTTTTAGCCTTAACTTTCAATTTCTCCATTCTCTATGGAGAATATCTGACCGATCTAAGATTCGCTGATGGCATAGTCCTAATTGCCAATAGTCCTGAAGAACACAAATTAACGGATTAAATACAGCAAGCAATAAAGTAGGTCTCAAAATAAATTTAGCAAAAACTAGAGTAATGTACAACGAACTGGTAGACAGAAAAAACATTTTACTAAATAACACAACACTGGAAATAGTAAAAGAATATATGTATATATTTGAGGCAACTAATACACAACTCTGGATCTCTGTTACTAGAAATTAACAGAAGAATTAAGTTAGCATGGCGTACTTATGGAAGAAACTCAATCATATTCAAATCTAGAATGCCACTTTATCTAAAGAAGAAAACATTAAACCAATGTGTACTACCAGTCATGACCTATGCATGCGAAACCTGGGGCGCTATTCTGTATAATCGTCGGTATCGGTAAGTTACCGACAGCTATCAGTACGTACGGCCAATGAGCGTCGTGTGGATTGTTGTTGTCATAGTTACCGATCGGTCCTATAGCAGATATCGCAAATTTGTACCGACGACTCTCGGTATCTCTACCGTGAGGTTGACAAGGGCACGGTAGAGATACCGATTTTCGTCGGTACAAATTTGCGATATCTGCCATAGGACCGATCAGTAACTATGACAACAACAATTAACACATTTTTACTATATATAAATACGTATCGAGAGCTGTCGTAACTTACCGATACCGACGATTTTACAGAATAGCGCCCCTGGACGCTTAAAACGGACATTATAAGGAAACTGCACGTCGTACAACGCTCAAGGGAACGAAATATGCTGGGAATAACCAAGAGAGACCGTAAAAGAATAGAGTAGATACGACAAAAGATCTAGGTAATAGATGTCATCCACAGAATCAAATCCCTCAAGTGGCAATGGGCAGGACACATGATAAGAAAGACGGATAACAGATGGATCACATAAATTACACATTCCCACGGGAAATCAAGAAACCTAGAGGAAGACCAAACCTGAGATTAGCAGGGATAACTTGGGCCCACATAGCCAGAATATAGATATGTGAGGGAGGTTACACCATAATTACAAATGGTTGAATAAGCTGAAAATGATGATTTTTTTTAATTTTAATTTTTTACATCTTTACAAATCTAAATATTTTAGATTTGAATGAAGGATACTTAAACCTCAATTACTTTGAAGAACATGGTAACCAAAATTGGTAATATTTAAGTGAAGTAAACCTTAGCTGAAGTTAGTCTGATAATCTGAAGGCCGAAGACCCCACTGCATTAATGCAATCAACGCCCATTGTATCAATGAATGCGCTTCTCGACCATCCGCCCCTTCACTGGGGAATAGGACAGAAACATGACTCTTAAAGATGGGAGATTCTATCGGGAGACCTCTACTCCCAATGAGTTTGGACCAAATAACCCCTCTTTATCACTACCACAAGCCATTCGAGGTGGATAAAATGGATCGAGGAATGTCGACAGATACAACATTCTGTTAAAGACCGCAGGCGGAACAGTAGTTGGAGTATCTAAGGAAAGACCAAGGGCAAGATTAGCCTTTTCCTTGGGTAAATACTCAACCATATTCCAGACAGAATATTCTTCAATGCGTGAAAGAAAATAACAGAAAAGCTTACCGAGCTATGCACATCAATATATGTCAGACTGTACTTAAGGCGCTTATGAACCCAAAAGTATCGTCGAGATTTGTTTGGGAATGCCTGTGTGAACTGGGAGCTCTGGCAGAAGGGAATAAAATTAAATTATTCTGGGTGCCGGGCCACACCTGCATCCAAGGCAACGAAGAAGCCGATAAAGTAGCAAGGCAAGGATCATCGGAACCCTATCCTGGTCGAGAGTCAGTACCGGGAATACCCTAATGTATAACCCGTAGAGCAGTAAAACTCTGGATCAGGGAAAAGCAGTATGTTCACTGGATAAGCAGACAGGGGCACAGGCGTAGCAAGGCCTTCATCCAAGGACCCAAAGACTATCGGATGGTAGATGGGTGAAGCTATTCTGGCAATCCTTGTACAAAATGGAGAGATAACATCGACAGCGATCATGAGCTATGAAATAAGCACTGATTTCATGATGGAGGTGGGAGGCTTATTGTACAGTCAGCTACAAGTAATATCTTTCTTTGAAACGAAAAATCAGATTGAATATCTAATAACACCAATTATTGTAGAGCAGAAAACGCAGCAATGAGAATGTTAAATTTGTGTAGCTTTCCAAAGTGCCAGAAAAAAATAAAGACAAAATCGTTGAAACATTTTTTGAAAGTTTTCGGAACATGGCGTTGCAGGGTTCAGCAAGGGGCAAATTTTGTATCTTTTCTGATTCACGAAACGTTGTACTGTGAATTTTTATATGGGACACCATGTATATATTAAAACAAAATCGGACTAATTAAAGATTATATACTTACGACGTGGGATGATCCACCTTCCTGTGCTGGAACGGATCATAATCTCCAGCTTCCGGGTCCTGCTTCCTGTTGTCAAATAGAGGAACAGTTGATCCATTTGCGGAGGCTGCTTGAACAGGTTCTCCAACTTTGTCCGCTTTATAACTGTAATTTGACAGAGATTAGACAGTACCTAACTTAAAAGACCCGGTTTACACGCACGTATGACTTTGGACATATTTTACTCTTAAAATTTATTTATTTAACTATATTCTTTTGATAAAACCTTATTTTTTAATTGAATATAATATTAATATATTCATTGCACATGTAGATGTAGGATATTGTCTCTGATTATTTGACAGTCAAATAAGTAACATACGATCAAAAAAAAATTGGTCAAGTGCAAGTCGGACTAGCGCACGAAGGGTTCCGTACCATTCATTATACATTAGACACTATATTATTATAAACTTTCTTTTCGATTTAGCTGAAATTTTGAATGCGCGTATAAGTAATTTAAAAAAAATGAAGAAACACATTACTAAAATTGTATTAATCAATAATAAATATGTAAAAAGTAAAAATAAATATGTAAAAATATGTAAAAATTTAAAAAAAAAACGATTAAAAAAAGTTGCCTTGACTAGGATTCGAACCTGCCTTACTACGGCTGCAACGTCATAGCAGCGTAAAGTCCTAACGCTTTAACCACGCGGCCACCGAGGACTTGAAAGATTCTATATAAAATTCTTACTTAAAAGATAATGTTTAGTGAAAGTACTTTTTTATTTATAAACATTTATTTAATTCTAGTTTTACTATTTGTTCTTCTAGCGGCAAGATAGATACATTATCTGTGAAAATTTCAACTGTATAGCAATAACGGTTCATAAGAGTAAGATACACCCTTGTTACAGACGGACGGACAGCGAAGCCTTAGTAATAGGGTGCACGTTTTTACCCACGTACGGAACCCTAAAAAAGTCTCAGAGTGTTTTTTGAAATGATAATCGATGATCATTTTTCTCCAGTCTTCTGTGTCATCAAAAATTGACATACAAACTAGGAAAACTGACTGAAAAAGTGTCCTCGTTTTAGTTAATTTAACTATTTTAAATTGGTATATAATATTTGAGAGAGATACAGTTTGTTCAACAAGAGAGTACCTGACAGTAACTGTTGTTGTCTGTCATTTTAATTCACAGGATAATTAATTTTCCTAACTCGTTGCACAGTCTTTTCAGTTGTTTCAATTTATTTTTCTATTATTTCCATCTATGTTATTGAAGAAAAAGATAGAATATTAACGTGGATTGAAAGAATTGATAATAACTAAACTCTCTTAAAATGTATTTCATTTGACATACTCATTTCGTTGTATAAAAAATTAAATTTTCATTATTAAGAAATTTTATTCTATACATTTTCTATACCTCTGATAGATAAGATTCACGGTACGTCAATTGTTTCAAAGGAGGAAGCCCTTCCTATCATGCTATTTCACCCTCATTGTTTTGTAAGAAGGGTTTGATTCATTCCTGAAAATATTGCCGAATTGCGTGTTGAATTGACGTAAAATTATGGCATTATTGTAAGAACTCCACTGCAAATAGAAAACAACAGTAAAAGAAAGAAACATTGAATGGGTATTTTAAAACAATCTAATAGAGTATTGGTATAAGTGACACAGATACCTTTATTTTTGAAGATATATTTAAAAAAAAATGACAAGCAGACAGTAGTATCGACTGACTAGTGAGAAAGAAAATATAGGAATTAGTGGGGTTGCAGTCATTAAAAAAATTACTTAATAGCTTATAATAATAATAATTACTTAATAATTTTTATGTAGTACCCTGTATATAGTATTATTTTTTTCGAGTTATTCTAAACTAATGTGGATATCAATATTTTGCTTCTGCAAATTCTTCCTGTTTTTATTTTCTTCCTTTACATTTTGTTAATCTGATACACTTTTTTCTGTAGTTTCTGCGCATGGTATTTCTTTTTAAAATGCAATTATTAATAAGTTATAAATTTATACATACAAATTTCCAGGTTAAAATTACAATAACAAATTTATTCATAGTCATTTCCGATGGTTGCTTAAAAAGTTTTATTTGAAATGAAATACGAGTTCAACAAAATGCACGAGTGCTTCTGCATTAATATATAGAATATTCATTGATATATAATTCTATTCAATTAAAGAATTATTGTAATTACTTTTTATGAAGCTTCGAGTAATCATCTGAACGTAATTCACTTTTCTTATTAAACATAATAAACTACTTAGCTTTAGTAGTGTTTACACTCACTACAGTTTGTTTTACTCAAAAGAATATAGTTAAAAAAGTACATTTTACATTACGTTACACAAATTATTTGAAATGTTTTAAATGTGATTGAATATGACAAGCCAAAATGTGGAAAAAGAAATATGCAGACAAATGCTGATGGAGCTAAAGCTTAATCTTTGCAAAAATATATTTACTTACATTAGAGCAGTGTAAACGGGGCCTTAAATATCGAGTTAGGATAGTGGGAGTAAGAGATGATTGAACAAAAATCAATAATATTGAACTAAACCTGAGTTTAGATAGGAATTGTTGGTTTGAAATGAAATTTCATGGAGAGGAATAGAAGTGAAATAAATTAGGCATTGTTCTTATAGTATCGAATTGGAAACACAAAACATATTAGAAAAAATTTATATTTCAAATAAAGGAAAGCATTCGAGAGTATTGTTTTTCAAATCTCAATCTCATACTAATTATACTGAAAAATATGATTTTATCCTTAATTTCTTAGTTATTAAAACGCTGCGAATGTGTATTATTGTTGTGGTGTCTGTTTATATTAGTACGTTTTAAAACAGGGTTCCTCAAACTTACAGCTTCACGTACCCCTATTATAATTCACAGAAAATTCACATTAACAACTAGCACACATCATGTTTGGAAAACCCTGTATTAATACATTGATTTTTTCAATTTAACTTTGTGGGTTGTTCACATTTAACTATATATACGTGAAATATAATTCAGTATACTTAGAATAACTTTATTGTATACCTAATGTTAGAAGAAATTTTAAAAAAATTACTTTTAATAGCTTTGGATGTAAGATTTGTAACATTTTTATGACCACCCTGTGGATCGCAAAAACGACGCCAAAGACGGCTGGGGAATGACAATCGGTGATACTTTTGGCGAGGTCAAGTCCTAGACTTCTTCTTTGTTTCTTAATGGCGCTTACTGCCAGTTGGCCTTAAGAAGGTTATCAATTATTTTTATTATTGAGTAAGAACTTCAGATTACAGTTGAGGGTTGGAACCTTTGGTGTTACACAGCAAAATAAAAACACTAAATCACCACAATACACCAAAACACTTTTACTTTTACACTGGACGCGCGTTTCGCTAACCATGTTAGCATCTTCAGCAGATGATTATAAACTAAAATAACTAACAGTTTATAATCATCTGCTGATGATGCTAACATGGTTAGCGAAACGCGCGTCCAGTGTAAAAGTAAAAGTGTTTTGGTGTATTGTGGTGATTTAGTGTTTTTATTAAGAACTTTAGCAAACATTATTTTTAAATGGTGTAATTGATTTTTTTGTAATATTTTTTCTAATATTTCTATAATTAGTGTTAATTTTTGACAAGTTTAATGTCAATTTTTAAAAAATGACATCCAGAGATTGACCTCGCTAAAATTATCATCCATTTTCATTCCCTAGGCGTCTTTGGCGCCGTTTTTTTTTCGGTCATACGGCAAATTAGGCGAAATTCGTAAAAAAAAAGATAAGTTCAATACAGAAAGCGATTATTAGAAAGGTACATATCAAAAAAATAAGCAAACCTAGGGATGATACAATTTAAATATCAGTTAGGAATACGCAAATTTGTATTATGCTTAGCAAAATATTTATCAGCAAAAAAAACTTTGCAAAAATACTATTTAAATACAATATTGACATTACTTTTGACATTATGTGTGTGATAGTTGTTTAAGACCTAATATAATTGTAATAATTCTTTTCAATCTGACATCATCCACATGACGGTTTGCTTAAGTAAATTTAGTTTGTTCGACAAGCAAGCAGTATTTATGGATTTTGTGAAGTTTAGGTTTATTTAATTTATTATACGTATACTATACGATACGATCCAAAAAAAAACCGGCGGCAAAGACGACTGGGGAATGACAATCGATGATAATATTGGCTAGGTCAAGCCCTACGCGTCATTACTTGGCCCGTACTCTTTGTTATTTTTTAATGGCGCTTACTGCTACTTGGCCTTAAGATGGTTGTAATTTGTTTTTATATTGAGAAAACCGAGTTTTAAATGATGCAGTTTATGAAATTGGAGAAAAATAAATTTTTGGAAATAGACTTGTGCGTCTGGAAACGTTCTATTCTTTTTTAATCTTTTTATAATTAGTATTAATTTTTGACAAGGTTTATGTCAATTTTTAGCCAATGACGTCTAGAGACTGAGCTCGTCAAAATTACTATCATTTATTATTTCCCAGCCGTCTTTGACGCCGTTTTTTTTTCTCGACCATACGGTAGCAATTAGATAGACAGCGGCATAAATTACAAAATATTGTAGATATAATATGAGTCTATAATAAGTGGAAGATTCAATCCCATTTTATTAACGCTAAAAGTTGGTTATATTAAACTGTGGTTAAGTACTTCCTTTATAGCCAGTTGTGTTTTTATCTCATTTTAAAACAGTATGTTGCAATTAACTAAAAAACAAAAGTTAATTTTGTATGTTAGGGTCCCTCTTTATTTACTTATTTTTTTGAATACAGTACCTTGTATTAAATTTGATTTGGAGAAAATCTTTTAAGGTTTAGCTAATGTTCGCTATTAAATATTTCAAATGATATTAGAAGAACAATGCCACCAAATCTTAGATTAAATATATGAAGATATAACAGCCCGACATCATAAATGTTTGAACATTTTGTCCGCATAATTAACACATCTTTTACCAACAAAAACGACTTTGTTTACAGAGCACAGCTTATTCAGTACCAGCCGGTCATCTTTGTGTGATCTTGAGTATCACATCATGGAAATCTCAACGAAGCTCAGAATCCGACTTGTTACACACCATAACATTATTGTTACAATCATCTAGG